TCGGCCGCGCCGCCTCGGCGGCAGGTAAGGGGCAGGTCTGCGCTGGCATCGCCGCCGGGGAGCGGGCGAGGGGGGAGCGGGCGGCTGCGGGAGAGGGGGGCAGAGACCCGGCGTGAGGGCGGTGGTGGTTCCCTGCCACAGCAGGGGATGGAAACGGCTCCGGGCGCTCTCTCGCCAGCCCAGACTTCATTCCCAGGGCGCTGCGACCTTGGGTGCTCGCAGCGATCTGGGGCATCCCGGGGGGCCAGGATTCTGCTTTGCGCTTTCTAAGCTAAAAGCTGCGCTTGTGCTTCCTCCGCTGAGCCAGCGCGGCGGGTCACAAGGCGCCTGAGCAGCCTCGGCTCTTGCTTTGGTAGCCTCCCTGTGCTGCATTCTGCTGGGAGAGGTCGGAAAGGTAGAAGAAATCACTGAGTTGGATGAAATGCCTTGCTTTGCCGGTGACTCACTGGGTGACCTTGGGTTGGCCACTTAATCTCCGACTGCTGCAGCTGGGGCTACAGCACGGCCCTGGTGTGTAAAGCACCGTGATAACCTCCAAGGAGAAGTGCTAGATAAGCATGAGGTAGTTGGCTATTTTTCCCTCAAGTTCTACTAAAACAAGGAAGAGGGTAGACTGAATGTTCTTGAGACCAGAAACCTCTGCGCCAAATTTCATCACAACATAAAAATGTCTCTGTTAGCTCGAAAATCCGAACTGAGGATCATTCCTTGTGTTGTGAAATGGGAACAATGAAGTTCTCGCTCAGACAGTAATGTTACCGGTTTTTCTCACAGTCTTTTTGAATCCAGCTTTGCTCAGCACCTGTGATCTGTGGAATAAAATGTGGGCACTAAGCAGATGCTCCAGGTTCTCCTTCCACCCCATGCCACTCTGATGGGTGCAGGAAAGGCAGTACAGGGATTAGTTGACCCCAGTGCTCCCTCCACGTTACAGGTCTTGGATGAACGAGAGATGCAACTGCTGAAGCTCAAAGATTCAGGTCCCTGTTAGCAATCTGGTGGCTGCTAAAAGAGAGGAGAAGGGAAGTTACCAGCAGAACCCCCCAAGCTCTGCTGTTCTGCACAGCATTGCCCCATTGCTCTCCAGTGAAAGGACAACAAGGAACATCACTGATGTAGGGAAGGAATATGCTCCGTGTTAGAGGCAACCAACCAGATCCCATTCCCAACTCTGCCCCAATTCACAGCTTCCAGTGGCTGTTGTACTTCATTTTGTTTTGGAGGGGTTTTTTTGTTGTTGTTTTTAACACATGCAGGTCATTTAATCTTCTTGCACTGCTTACTTTATATATATATATCTATATATATATCTCTTTTCCATAAAATCCAGCCTTCTTTGTGCTCTGCTCCTTGTGGTACTTGTAAGAGCTGAAATCAGTAGCTTGTGTAAAAGTGGCAGAGAGGATAATGGTGAGCACTCCAGAGCAGCAGGGATGGTTTACTTCACACACCTTGCTCTTTGATTGAATCATTTGGGTTGGAGGGGATCTTTAGAGGTCATCTAGTCCAATTCCTTTGCAATGAGCAGGGACATTTTAACTACATCAGGTTGCTGGTAATTCATCTGTCACTAGGGCGTGGTACAAGATTTATTTACATTGGGATTTTCAGTCCTTTTCTGGAAAAGAAAGTCAATGGTAGACCACAGAGAAGAAGCTGGTACTAAGGTTTTTTTTGTTCAGTTAGTAAAAAGATGGGAGAGACTTGTCAGTCAACAGAGCTGATAAAGGAATCTATTAGACGAAATATTTCCTGAGTTTGAAAGTTCATTTTTTTAGGATTGAGATTAGAGCTGAGTTTGACTTTCTTCCAGTAGCTGGAAGATTAGTGACATGTTAGATCATTAGTGATGCTGAAGCTACAGCCAGTGCCCAGCTCTGCCTGTAAAACCTCATCAAATTTTTTGTGATGTTCTCATCTGAAGCTTCCTTCTACTATTAACATTTCTAAGATCCAGCCTAATACATTGTTAAATGGTACTTGTTTGAACTCATATATACATGTAACAGTTTTTCTGTTTCAGGTTTTTAAATGTTAAAAATAAAGAAAGATAGTGAAGTCTTTGTTGTCATTGTGAGTCATGTAACTACAACTGACTAGTTAAAGTTGTAAATAATAATAATAAAAAATAATAATAATTTTTAAAAACACAGAATGCAACAGAATACAACATGCTTTGGTTGTTTTTGTTTTTTTCTTCTGGTTTCCACAGAGGAGTATAGCCTGGAAATAACCAACAATGGCCCGATCACAACAGGAGCTCAAGCTACTGTCCACGCCAGTCTAAGTATGAAGAATAACAGTGTTGCACCAAACTTGTATCACTTTAACTGGATTTATGCTCCTCTGATTCTGATAGAGAAATCTGAGCACCACTTGAACTCTGTGATTAATTTGGCTGGTGAATTTCCTGGGACTTTTCCTGTATCTGTTTGGGTGACTCACAGAAACTGTTGGTTGTGTCGGCCAGTTGCTAGAAATGACACCCTGCTTCAGATCACAGGTAATACAGCTTTACAGCTTCTATGTCTTCAGGAATTCAGTACACATCAGAATGCCTGCTGCCTTTGCTAGCACCAGAAAATGAAGCCAGATATAAATGTGACTTCTGCCAACAGAGTTTGATTGATGGAGCCTTTTGATTGAAGGTGGTTTTGAACAGGTGTTTGGGCTGCAATGTAGTCTACCTACCTCTGGAAGCAAGTGCCAGCCTGCCCATGTTTCCCTGCCTCTGTCACTGGAAAACTGAGCTAGAAACTAGATACCTCAGCAGCTGCAGTGTTGTTCAGTGATGTCCAGACTCCTAAAACAATGCTTTCTGAAATGCTTCCCAGCATTTCCAGTCCTAAAGTTAGGATGACAAGCTGCAGTGACAATCGACTGATTTTCCCTGTTGCATGACACAGCAAAATCTGAAGCCATCTGCACAACAGAGCCATTACATTTTCTTTTAAAATTCTGACTGAGTGTACTGAAATCAGATGTGAAGTCGTAGCTGCATTTCCAAATATTGCTAAGTGCCAAATATTGCTAAGTTTCAGATCACTGGGAATATTCATAACCATAAACATGCATTTTTTGGACAAATTGAACCATGGTGCCGTAACTCTGCTAACCTAATCTCTGGTGCAGGAATTTACACAAAATATCATCTGGGAGCCTCCTGCAATTATTTCTTTCAAGGACTAATAGCCACATCCCTCTGGCCACATCTCCCAGTGCTCTACTCAGACACTCCAGATTAAACCAAGCTCCCAGCCGAAGATAAGGACATGCATGAGGACAAAAGAGCCAACTATAGGGCATAGCTGACATTTTGGGGAATACCTATAGAGATTTTTCTTTGAGAAGCACCAAGCTTATTTGATAAGTCTTTATAAAAAATGTTAATGAGATCTTTTCTCTCTTAAGAACTGCTGCTTTGCGTAGTATCTACTTATTCCTTTCTCACTTTGTAATGTCTTATATTCTCATGCCATAAGCAAAAGGGAGAGAAGCTTCCTATAGCTGTGAAAAGTTACATCCAATTGAACCTTTCTTCTTTCCCCAGGCATGAGCACCCACAGGAGCTTCACAGGGGCCCAAAGGCCAAAAACTCATATAAATTACAGCTCCAGTTAGCTCTGCATGACCAGCCCCAATCTGAAGCAGTAATTCTGATTCTTATTTGTGCATCACCTAGAGAAGAGTTAATGAGATTTAATGAATTGTTAAGAGCTTAAGAGTCTGTTACTAGTAGCTAATATCCATAATCAATGAACTGATGAGTCTATCATTATAATACTTCTGTCTTTATAGGTTAGAGGGGATTTTTAGATCAGCCTTTGCCAGTCCATGCAAACAAACTGAAGCACAGGATCTCTCAGAGACATCAAAATCAAAATTTCAGCCTTTCTGTACTCACTATGTAGGGCACACGTCATTCGTAGTAGTGAAATTCTCATTTCTGTGGAAGCAGGTAAAACCAAAAAAACAGCAGCTTAAGAACCCCATAAACAAACAAACAAACCCCACCATCCCAAACATGAAAGGTGTTTATACTGTTTCGGTTCTGAATCCCTTGATCTAGACATTTGTTATTAGTTCCAGTTCTTTTTAAATCAAGAGTACAAACCAATATTGACCTCCATCAGTGCAGGATTATTTCTCTTAGTTCTATTAGAAGATTTATCATGACCCACTGTATAACACCTAACAAGTAATTTAATTTCTCTGCCTCACTAACAACACTGAGTAATAGATACAAAATACATTTGGATTAGGACACAGAAAGATCTATACAGTCCATTTTAAATAATGTTTTGATACTCACACAGAGCATGCCATGAAAATGATATAAGCTGTCATTCTTTCCCCACTGTACTATTCTGCAGAATTTATCACAGGGAATCTTACCATTGCCCAGATAGAAGACAGCAGATTTATCAGACATGGTTCCAGTCCCTCCACAGGCACCATGACCCGGATTTCTTTCTGTCTTCATGACCCAAGTCGTTACTTCAAGTCGGCATCATTTGTCTACAACTGGGATTTTGGAGATGGGTAGGTATGGTTACTATGTTTGCCTTAAAGAGTACTCAAGATGGCTCTGATTCAGATACTCATCTAGAGGAAAAATCCTGATTAAATGACAGGACAAAGCACACACCTTTGCCAGTCGTACATTCTTAGCGTGTCAACCAAGTGAATTATGAAAACTTTGGCAAGTAAGTCACTGCACACTCACAAAAAGGTAATGTTTTGGAGATCTAAATTCCCTGTTCAGATGTGTGCTTAAGTGTATTACTGTATGTGCAATAAGCCAAATGAACTGGAAAAGTAAGCTTTAGCCTTTGAATATTACTTTTTTTCCTTTTTTTTCTCTCCACCTTCCCCTTAGTGCTTCAGTTAGCTTATAGCCCACCTGCTATAAAGGTAGTTTTCATTATTCATTGACTATTCTTATTCCATTTTGAGAATTCTTTTAGCATTACCTTTGATTTCTTTGATTTAAAATGCATAAATATACTCTGGGTCTTACACCTATTGTAGTTTTATTGGCAATGCCTCAGACGTCAATCCTCATTGATATGGACATAAAATAGAATCACAAACAACTGTAACTTTGTCTGTAAAGAAAATATAGTCAAGCTCGCTCTTTTTTAAAATAAAAAAAAAATAAAATTGTAAGGACTTGTTAAAAGACTATTTTAATTCTAAATTTCTTCTTGTTGCACATAGAGTTTATCAGATTACCAAGGAACCCTTTGTCTACTATAACTGCTCTACCATGGGGAATCGCACAGTGCATCTGAAAGTCATAGCTGAATGGGAGCAAGCTGGAAGCATCATACATGAAAGAGAAACAGTGCAGAAAACTGGGGATTTTAGCACTGCTTTGGAGCTGCTAGGTAATTGTAGAACATTTTGCATACTCAGCACGGAGCTTGCTATATATGTACAGATACAATCTAGCTTTAATGTGTTAATATGATAACACAACTTCAGCGTTATTTCACATGCAGGAACTAGTCAACATTGTTCAATAGTTTCCTCTGCAAAATAGTCTTCATGCTGTTCAAATGCAGAAAAAAAATATGGAAATACATCCACTTTTCTGTTTCTTTTTTATTTACCGAAAGTTTAACTGTCTTAAAACTTACACTAAAAAGTTTATCATAAGTTAGGAAGGATTTGTTTGTGCTGGCTATCCCTAAAAATAAGCATTAGAAAAGTCTCATGGATGTGATCAGCTTCCAGAGTAAATGAACAAAGTAAAAATGTAAAGGATCAATGAAGTAGTTGATTATATACTAAAAAGAAATCGCAAAATATTCTGAAAACTTCAAACTCTAGCAGGAGGATTCCTTTCTGGGTGTGAGGCAAGTAGTATTACTTGTTTGACTGATGGAACTAAAACCTACGAGCCTATGAAAACAAACATTCATTGAAAAACTGGTTAATTTCAAATTTGTATGTGCAGTGTGACATGCTTTTTGTTCCTCCTTTCAGATGCTGTTAGAAGTATTAATGTAGTGGGCTCCAGAGAGACTCACGTAATGGAAAATTTAAATTTGACTCTTCATATCAACGGCACGTAAGTAGCAAACACAACTTACTTCCCCCCAAAGGCAGAGTCCTTTGCCAAAGGCATAAATAGTCCTGACAAAGCAGCACAGTTTCTGTTCAGAACACAAATGGCAGGAGTGAAAACTGGAAGTAGCATGCAGGTAAATACAAAAAGCCAAAAACCATTACAAACTCAAGAACCCTAAAAGCAGGCTTGGTTCTAGGATGGACAGGGCTTTTCAGACCTAAGGCCACAGGACTGACATAACATGAGTTTATGATAAAAAGCAACAAAGGCTTGAGAGATCGGTTCTCAAAAACAAAGCTTAGAAAATGAGCTAAACACATAAATATGCTCTTTTCTTTAGCAGAGAATTACCTAAAGAGATAAGGAACAAAATACTAGTAAGGCAGGTAAAGAAGTGCTCTGTTGTCAGACTCAAAGTCCATAGTGCATAAGGGAATCCAAGCAGAATCCGTTGGAAGAAGGGTCTGAAAATGTAAATAAAGGGCATCAACTAGACATGGTGAGAAGACCCGTGGCCATAAAATGGATAGGACTTCGGTTGCTTGTTAGCAAATAAAAACCTTTTTGTTATTGTAACGGAGTACTGAGATCCTTGCCATTTACTTACCTTTTCCAGCTATTAATCCATTGTACAGATCTCACTTTATGTTCTTTCCAGTTGTGGTTGTTGGGGTCTTTTTAATCAGAAGAGTCTTGGGTGTGCTTAAGTAGCACAGACATTGAATTCTTCTGTGTAAGAGGAACAAAGGAAAAACCTATACTCCCTTGGAAGTGGAGGAAAAAAAATATTCCTTTTATCTTTATTAAACAAGGACCAAGGCATTTTCTACACACAGAGGCCTGTCCGTGACCCGCTCAGGTCTTTAACTCTCAGCTGGGAGGCTTTTATAGATGCATCACAAAGAACTTCACTTGACAAATACTATAAACCAAAGAATTGTGCAGTTACTTGCTTCTCTGTTTCTATTTAAATTAACTTAAATTATTACACCACTTCAACTGAGTGATTCAGCAGCTCGCAGCTGACATTTTTTGGCAAAGTTTTCACCTGATTTTTTCTTTCTGGTTGCTCTCCCCTTTTCAGCCCGCCGCTGGCACTGTGCTGGCTTATCAAGTCCGAGTGCATTCCACTTGAAGGTGACAAATGCCATCTGGTGGTGATTGACGGCTCCTGCTACAACCTCAGCCACACCTTCAGAGACGCCGGGCAGTACTGCCTCAGCGTCCGGGTGCAGAACGGCGCCACGATGCTGCAGACCTACCATGAAATAAAAGTGTGGCCAACAGGTGGGGAGCAGCACGGAGATTCCCCCCTGCCAGGGAACCGACAGTCTCAAAGATGTCAGGGACAGTTAGTAGCCTGCAGATGAAGGTGCTGGAAGCCGGTATAGATCCCTAAAAGTACAGGAAGCAGGGAGATAAGGGAGAGCCTGTATTGTGCCAATTATAAGTGCTCTGAGCTTGCATCCTGCTGTAGCCTTAGTCTCAAGAGTGTCTTGAAGCTAATGAGTTTCCTGGGAAGGCTGAGTATCTTAAATGACATCTTTTTCAGTTTAAACAGTCTGGTTCTTATAGTCAAGAGAGGATAACTAGGAAAACAAAGCATCTGTAACACTCCCTTAATTAAGCAGTCTCAGTTCTTTTTGTTTTGTTTAGTTATGCTGGGGGTTTTTAGGCTGCTCAAGGGAAAAAAAGGGGTAAAAAAGGAAAGACCCTAACTACCTCACTACCCAACATTCCCACTTCTGAGATTCCAGAAAGACCTGAAGTGATCTGGGCTGAAAAAATTATCCCATGCCACGTATTTGTCCTTTGTTCTAAAAATATGAAAAGTTGTCATAAACCATCATTTCCTTCTCACTGCAGCCTCTTCCCAGTGTATTGTATAACTCCAGGAATGTCCTCCTGTGCTCTTTCCTAGGGATCCACCCAGTTCTCTTTGTCCTACTTTGCATCGCTCTGGTTGCAGTGATGGTAGGACTGGTGCTGTACATGACCTTTCGAAGCAACACACAACAAAAAGATCTCGTGGAGGTATTACTCAGCTACTTTTACATTGAGCTGGGATAGTAATTAGACACCTTTCAGCCATGTCCCTTCTTTAATCCCCAGGCAAGCAGAGGTGGAGGGAGCATTTCCCTGATATGTCTGATCTGTTCCACAGAAAAGCACAAACAATGTAGGAAACACGTGAAGCAACAGGCATGTTTCTGGCTGCTATGGAGAACTATGACTGTAATTCAAGTTGCCAGAGCTATCATGGACAGTTTGTTAATATTCCCAGGCATGGGCTTACATTGAAGTATCCCTTCCAGAGGATCTACCTCAAAGTGGTTACATGAAAGAAAAGAAGAGGGTAATGAAAGAGGATACAGGGCAGTAAAAAAGGATGGGTATGTTACCTACAGTGGCATTAAATTGTCACCTGACCCTGGTATGTGACCTTTGTCTCCTGAGCTCCCTCCTATCTCTGGTGTAGCTTTCACTAATTACAATATTATATTTGTAAGAAGCATGGACTCCCAAAGAAAAGGAACCTTTTTAGCCCTTTGGAAAATACCTAATGCACTTTACATCATGCAACAATATGAATAACAAACCTCTAGAGACACTGGCTGTCAACCAGGTGTGCAGCAGGTTTAAATCAGAAGTCTATTCGAAGTTGGTGGCTGACTGAAACTGGATGAGGCCCAAGGGCCTTTTCTGGCCCAAAGTGTTCTTGCTGGACTCACTTAAGCCAGTAGGACCCAAATTAAAAATTATCTTTTTGATGTTCCTTTTCTAGGTAGCGGACTTCGACTTTTCTCCACTGTCTGATAAAAGCCTGTCTTCTCATTCAGAGTCAGGCCGAATGTGTTGCAGATCATGTTGCCTTCTGTCATCTCAAGAAGCTGCCAGGGAGAGTCACGAACTGCTACATTCTTTTTACAAGCCAGTCAAAACATACACGGTGTGAAGAACACAAGTGCACTTTGGTTACACTGTCAAGTTTACCTTCTTCACTTAAGATGAGTTAAATGCCCAGTGCTGCATGAATGGTTTGGCTTTGCCAATGCAATGAGGTTAACCACTTTTAAGTCCAGCACTTGAGTGTTTCATTCTCTGAACCACAAAAAAGCAAGCCCCAAAACACAGTAAAAGTAGCTTTGTATTTTAAAATTATACGGGTGTATACATTTACAGTTGTAAATGCAGCTTTTTATTCTTATGAATTATTGTTTTATGTGCAGGCTTGCTAAACTCACTACCTCTTGTAATTTCTCTGTTCCTTTTGCTGTCTGTTTCAAAGAAGAAAATGCTTCAGACAAACATACCTCTCTTCCCTATGTTACCACAATATTACTGGAAATGGAAGTCACACAAAATGCTGTTGAGTGTGTATTTGTTCTAAAAAGGAACTGACTTGTCCAGGTTGGGAAAGGTCTAGCTGGTTCTAATGAACCAGACTACCTAATTGTGTTGTCTTTTTTCTTTATGTCTTAAAAGATCCCTTATTTAAGTTAATGGGCTTCTTTGGGACTGTAGTGGCTGGTACAGTGACCTGCTCGTGGAGAGTTAGCTGTTACCAGTAGTTGGGTGGGATTGCAGCAAGTGCTGTAGAAGACTCCCCATCTCCAACACTTTACGAAGTAGTACACATACTACTCTAATCTGTATAAATACCTCACAGCTGCTCAGCAAAACTTACTACATTCAAATTAATAGTCAGTGTTCAAGGCTGCATAAACTCAGAGCCTGTTGCAAACTATCTTCCACTACCAGCTTTCAGCTTGCCCAGGTTTCCTCCCCCACAGAGGCTTTTAAACAAAAGTTCCTTGACAGCCACTTTTTAAAATGTAACAGACCTTCCCTGTCTCTGATTTAAAGCCCATGGGAATCGTGGGTTTGGGGTTTTTTCAGTTATGTTGTAATTTCTCAAATGCACTGACTGGGAGACAGTTGTCTGAATGTGAGGTGATTTACCATCAAGTTTTCAGGTGCTTATCTCACACATTCAACTTCTATGTTTCCTCAGAGAAGCCCAGACCTTCAGTTTGTCTGTGAACAAAAGTACATTACCTCAGAATGGCTTTGTTAATTAACTTGATACATTAAAAATACAATAAGATAATCTAAGATAACAAATGATCCAGTAAAACCAACGTTTTTTTTAAAAAAGTACTTCCCAAGGCAGAACTTCATGTGGCTTTTTTTTTTTCTAATGACAAATTGTATTTTTAAGCAAGCCTGTTGATTAGGTGTGGAGTCCTTTATATTCCTTCTCAGTGCCCTAGTGTCAAACTCTTATCTTCAGTCATACTCAGTCACTGTTACAAATGTGCCTCTCCTTAGACTAGCAAAGAAGTTATTGTTCTCAAGAGCTTCAGTTTCATTGCTTGTTCCTAAGATCTGAGGCATCTGAGCCTCTGCCAAAGGTACATGACTTGTTCTGGAATGTCAGTGTGTTCTGTAAAGGGCTACGTGGTCCGTGGGCACTGGATAGAACAGATTTCTGATGTGAAAAATGCAAAAATGCAGCTTGGAGTGATGGTGGCTCCAGACAGACTGCACAGTGGTTCTCTGCAGCCAGAAGTTTAGTTTGGGCTTCTTTTATTACAATGACATTTTATTACAGACATGTGACTCTTGCTAACTCCTTGGCACAATAATGAATGTGTATTTCTTCACATTGCACTCCTAGCAAAGACGGTAACTATGAGGGCAGATTCAGTTATAGGTACCTGAAACAGGGATCATTTGAGTTGGAGGAAGATTGTATCAAAAGAGTAAGACCTGTGCTCTGTCCCATTTTCCATTAAGACCCAGCTGATTCAAAGAGTATCAGGGGGTGTTAGGCCACAAATATTGTTGCTTTGGTTTTGTGCCTCTGTGCTCCACCCAGTACATCCTAGCTGAGATACAACTGATCATGCCCTGGCTAAAGTGGGTATCAACCTATAAGGGACCAGCACTCAGGACCTGTACTTGCTGCAATTACTGCCAAAACCCCATTGCAATCCCTCAAAGTCTTGTTTGCATCTCAAAAGGCCTGCCTGAGAGGATGGAGACAACCATGATGGCCTGGTATCCTGCAACTTACATGTACAACCACTGAGATAAGGACAATGATTGAGGGGTGGAAGGTGCAGAGGTCTAGTCCAGCTGCCCGGTTTTATTCAAACACAACTGCTCATCCTTGCAAAACATGGGAACTAGGTCTATAAGACAAGGGGCTGCAATGGTGGGCTTGGGGAGCCTCACTGACACCACCTCTTCCCCACTGGCTGGCCCAACATTGGATCCAGGACTGGTGATTTTCTATTATCTATCTCTCTAAACTTTTCTTCTACTCTCTCTCTTTCTTCCTAAAATCAGTAAGTAACACAAGCAACCGTGACTTTTTCTTTGGTTGTGCAGCTTATATACAGATGTATTGTACATATGTTGTCAGTCATACATATATAATCTCCTGGGTTACCCTACCCAGGTTGTGACACAACCCCCAGGAAAACAAACAAAAAAACAAGAAAACCTAAAAAACCAAAAGAGGGACCTGGAGTGAGTGACATATAAGTCAGGCCTAAGAAAGTCCCTAGTTTCCCATAGAGGAAAACAGAGGCAAATGTCCTTCAGAAGAATATTGTCTTTTACTCACTTCCTAAAATGAACAAAGGATGGCAAAGGAGTCCAATTATTCAGAAAGGTGAAAAGATAAAGAGCCGCAGAGAGGAAAGTCAACACTATAAAATAGTGGAAGATATTACTCAAGAGCAGATGTAAAAGACTAGAGGTTAGAAAGACATCTCCTGCAAAAAATAAGCAGTGGAGAAAGTACACTTTAAAGGGCACATCAAGAAGCAAATTAACCAAGAAAATTTAAACAACCTTAACAAATTAAGGTGTAAGTATGAGAAATATTCACATGAACATGTTCCTGAACCCAATATAAAACTGCTTCCTGCACAGAAGACTGATCTGTGGGTTCAATAAATGCCTCTGAAATTGAAGACAAAAGGTAATTGAGTGGTTCAGAATATAGCGAAGAGGTTAGTAGGATGTAACAAGGATCAGCAGGAGGATTCATTTTGTTAACCTTAGAAATCAATGACCTGGAAAAAGGAATGTTCAGCAAAACGATGAAAGTCAGTGATTCAAAACAAGAGTCCAGTGAGTACAAAGCCAAAGAGCAATTAAATTCTGGTGATAAGCAAGAGTGTGAGCAGGTAAAATGTTTATGCAATGAGAGTTAATTACAAGGAAATGCATTTGAGGACAAAAATATTCTGGAAAGCCATAGTATAAAAAGGCAGAGTAAAGCAAAAGAACTTCCGTTATTCTCTAATTTGTCACATAAACAATGGTACCAGTTTGTACAGTAAATGTGGGGACAAATTAGCCCTTTATCTTAGCAGCAGAGCATGAGGTTCAGTGGCTAAACAGGTCAAGGCTGAAATCTCTTTCCTCTCTGGAAAGTAGATAACACATCCCACGCTGTGACAACAGTTTGAATTCACAAGACCTCTATTGCATTTGCTAGATGCTGTAGGAATGGAAATTGTTTCAGCTAAAGGAAAGTGAAGAACTTAATGTTTAAATGTTCAGCATTATTATTAGACAATCAGCCAACACTTCACCTTGATTTTGGAGAGCCAGTGCCCGTTTCCATGGAAACTGAAGTGCTATCCTGCAACTGTCACAAAATTGTTTAAATCCTGCAGATCTCAGCTTTGACAGCCCACCAAGCACTACAAACGTGTATTTTAAATTGCAGCCACCAACACAGAAGTTCCAGAAAGTTCTTGGGTCTAATCTTTCAGAGCTGGGTATGCTCACTGCCAGCGTGCAGAATTCCTACAGCAGTGTGCATAAGGCCAGCAGGTGCAGTGTGTAGTGGTTTTGTACAAAATACCATCATTACACAACAACTGACACCACTACAAGAGCAAATTATACTACAGTACGAGTGAAATATTTCTACAACTAACCCATCCAAACGAATTGCTAATGCATTTCCTCACAGCAGTCCTGGGAGGCAGAGATTTGATATTATCACCATTCACAGGAGGCAAAAGGGAGCCACAAAGAGATAGGGAGCTTGCTTGGGTGCTGGGGCAGGTGTAGGTGCCTGCGTGAAGTTGAAGATTAAATAGATTAAGGAACTACACAGACCGTTTAACTAATCTTGGTTCTTTTCACAGCCCGCGGAGCAGAGTGAGCGCTACATTCAGGCAGCCTTTTAGACACACCTACTCAGATACGTTTACCTACCCTAGTAGCTGTAGCACAGCACGCAGGGTGGAGCTGTGATGTGTGGACTGCACAGCAGGTGTCTCCCAACGCACAAGAATATTTCCACAGTCCCCGCTGCCGCCCCGGCAGGGCTGAGCAGCTGCTAAGACTCTCGGCAAGTATTTTTATGCACGCCTGGCTGTGGCATGTAAGCTAAATGCTCCACCAGATTCCATAAAAGATGCATCTTATTCACAAACAAGTGCTGTAGTTTTGCCAGCAGCCCAGGATGCTATGAGAGATGACTCAGTGTTGATCACTGCACACAGAAACGTTTGCCCAGAGCAAGGTGAGCCCTTCATATCTCACTGGGAGGAGATGGATGGACAGACTAAGCAAGCTGTGCAGGCAGTAATGCTCCCAGGAGGAAGTTTTTATGTGCTTTACTGAACACACTGGACAGGACAACACACTGTTTTGCAGTCCCTCACGTCAACAGGACACCTGCTGCGTGAGTGGAACCTGGTGGGACTGAGCCCAGACCTGTGAATGAAAGCAATACAACCTTCCATAAAGGGAGTAACTGTGAAATTTCAATCTACAATGACATAAATGAAGGAAAATGAAGAAGGAAGCAGCCCACAGTGTAAAGCAAATCCTGAGTGCACACAGCTGAACATAAACATTTCTTGAAATCTCCTGGAGGTCCCCACGGCTTCAGTGTAAGATCTTAGAAACAGTGAAGCAGAAGAAGCAACTAAAAGGCACATTCTGGTTGAATAGCTCTCTAAACTCAGTCCTTCCTGGTAATATAAATTAAGATTTTGTCATTTAAAGCTTGTTCTCAGCTACAATTTAGATACAAACAAGAATAGACCACAGCAATAATGA